TTTAAACTTAAAAAAAAAAAAGAATCTCTATTAAAGATAAAAGCAGTCATATTTCGTAATAGAAATTAGTGATTAATAAAACTAATGAATACTTTATATCGATAAAATTGTGTCCATGTAGGCGATTATACAACTAAAAGATAAATAGTTATGGTGATTAACTAAAAACACAACGAAATTTTATCGTTAAAAATTACTAATAATGTCAAAATTATGAAATTAGTCATCCATAAAGTTAACACATACTTTACTGTTAGAAGTTGCTAATAGTGTTAGGGTTATCAAGGTTGGATTTTTTGTTAGAAGTTGCCAATAGTGTTAGGGTTATGAGGGTTGGATGTTTTGCTATGGTTAATGACTCTTCTGCCAAGAAAGAAGATGATCTCCAAGGTTATAGCACAAAAAAAAAAAATCAAGAAAAAAAAGAGGAAATAACGAAATTCTCATCGTGTGAAGGGTCATAAAAATCGTTTAGATGTAAAGTTTAAGGAGTGTTGCACTCTACATTACAATCCATTCCTTAAACGACTCCAACAAAAACTTTGGAAAGAGTACGAGGAGTAACTACGAGAGAGGACTTATCTGGTTCCAAAAATCTCGTTGCAAGTGGCTTCAGTTCGAGATAAGAACACCCACTACTTCCTTGGCACGACGATCACTCGTAGGAAAAAACTGTGTAGAGTCTTAAAAACAAACTGGGGGAATATGTATATAAAAAAAGGACCACATGTTATTATAAATCCTTGTTTGAGGATTCAAAACCTCAGGTTCCTTTCCTCCTAACCAAATGTTTTCCAGAATCGAACATCGAGGATATTAACAATATATGAGCTTGCATTTCAAAGGAGGAGATATACAATACTATTAGACATATGGGGAGTTTTAAAGCACCTTATTGGGAAAAACCCAAGTCCCACATCGACTAGAGATTAGGCAATTGAATAATATATAAGTGGAAAGCAACCCTCACCTTACAAGCCGGTTTTGTAGGGTTGAGTTAGGCTTAATCCACTATTCTAACATGGTATCAGAGCCATTTAGATCCACTTTAAAAATGGGCCACCCACCATTGATGCATGTCTCATAGGCATGAGGGGGTGTATTGGGAAAAACCCAAGTCCCGCCAATCCTAGATCATTAAAAAGGGCCACCCACCATTTATCCACGTACCAAGCCCAATAGTGCTGGACGTGAGGGGGTGTATTGGGAAAAACCCAAGTCCCACATCGACTAGAGATTAGGCAATTGAATAATATATAAGTGAAAAGCAACCCTTACCTTACAAGCCGGTTTTGTAGGGTTGAGTTAAGCTTAATCCACTATTCTAAGACACCTGATCATAGTGCTGGACGTGAGGGGGTGTATTGGGAAAAACCCAAGTCCCACATCGACTAGAGATTAGGCAATTGAATAATATATAAGTGAAAAGCAACCCTTACCTTACAAGCCGGTTTTGTAGGGTTGAGTTAAGCTTAATCCACTATTCTAAGACACCTGATCAGATGGTTTCCAGACATTGTTTTATCAATCTTAATGGAACACGGTGGGGTCAACTTTGTGCCAACTTATAGCTGAGGTTGAGGAAGACAAACAGAAAGTCACTTGTATTAATGATACGCTAATTATGCTCATTCCTAAAGAAGAGAATGTGACATTACTATGACAACTCCAACCCATTAGCTTGTACAACGTTTCCTACAAAGTCATTACAAAAGTCTTTGCTTATAGGTTGCGTAATGTAATGGTTGGTCATGTTTGTCCCCACCAGTGCAATTTCATATCATGGAGGCACAATAGCGATAAGCCGATAACACAATCATAATACAAGATGTTATACATTCCATGCGCAACAAGAGATAAGGGAAAGGTTGGATGATGTTAAAAGTAGATATGGAAGAAGCTTATGTCAAACTTAAATGGAGCTTCATTAAAGATACAGTTGAAGATATAGGGTTCCCTTAGGAATATGTAAGTCTAGTGATGGCATGCATATCAACTACTAGGATGAAGATTCTTTACAATGGTGAAACTCTGTTTGGGGAATTCGTCAAGGGAACCCTTTATCCCCTGTATAATTTGTGTTTTGTATGGAAAGGTTTTTCCATATGGTTAAGATTTCCGTAGATAATGGTTTATGGATTCCCATTAAACTTGTAATGAATGGCCCAAAATTGTCTCGCCTTTGTTTTGCTGAGGATTTGGTCCTTTTTGTGGAAGCAAATATAGACTAAGTTGAGGTTATTCAAACATGCCTTGACCTTTTTTGTAGCAGCTCTGGTCAACTTGTTAACAAGGATAAAACAAAGATTTCTTTCTCCAAGAATGTTTCCTGGCAGGTTAGGAAGCAAATTAGCGATGCCTTTGGGTACCAAAGAATTGTTGATCTTTGGAAGTATTTTGGGGTTCCACTTCACCATAAAAGAGTCAGTAAGACCACATATAATAACATCACAAGCAAAGTTTCGTAGCGTATGAGCTGTTGGAAAAGAAATTGTTTGTCCATGGCTGGACGTGTGACTCTATCCAAGTCTGTGTTAAATGCTTTACCAGCTTATACTATGCAGAATTCTTTTCTCCTCCGCTCTCTATGTGATGAATTGGATAAGAACACTAGAAAAATTATTTGGGGGAGACGACGATAATACCAGGAAGATTCATATGGTTCATTGGGGAACCATTTGTCTACCTAAAAATCTAGGAGGTTTAGGATTAAGATCCATGCGAGAAACCAATTATGCGTTTCTAATGAAAGTGAGTTGGAACTTTTGTAATCAAAGAGACATTCTATGGGTCCGAGTGGTTCGTACCAAGTATCAATGTCGTGGAAATATTAACCTCAAGATCATTATGAGGCAGAATCACTTGAACCTGCGGTGTGTGGACTAAAATCCTTAAAACTTGGTCTAGTTTCTTAAATAACATTATTCGGAGAATTGGTGATGGGAAATCTGTTGATTTCTGGCATGACTTCTAGCTGCTTGGCCTAAATGGTGCAAAAGTTGCTGATTATGTCACGTTCAACAATGCATGAGACTTGAACAAGCTCAATCATACCTTTCAGATGAAGCCTTGAAGGTTCTCCAAGCCCATGCAAGGCCTATTCGTGAAAGAAAGGATGATGAGATGGCTTGGAAAGACTCTCCTGACGAATGTTTTCTTGTTAAATCTGCTTACCTTTCTCTCCTGAATAAGGAACCAGTTCACCCCTTACCTATTTTCCCTACCATTTGGCGTTGGAAGGGGTTTGAATGCATTAAGCTGATACTTTAGAAAGCTGTCCACAATAGCTTACTAACGAACCTTACTCGCAGGAAGAGAGACTTGACCATTGATGATCTTTGCCCCAGATGTCACATGGAGCAGGAAAGTACTTGACATGCACTAAGAGACTATCCTATCATTAAAGTTGTCTGGTGCAATCTCATGAATAGTCACCTTGATTTGACTTTCTTTGATGAATACTACCAGAGCTAGATTATTTATAATCTTAGAGTGCGAGGGATCGAGCATTAGCACTGGTCTTCCATGCTTGCATTTGTGGTTGATGATATCTAGAGAGCCAGAAATAATTTGGTCTTTGAGCACCAACAAACTAATAGCCTTGCTTTTTCCACTTTTGTGCGTAGATGGTGGCAAAATATCTCCAAAGCATACGAGTATTGCTAAGGTACCCCCGATATGATTTTTACAAATTATCTCCTATTAGATGGTCACCACCTCCTTTTGGATACATCAAGTTGAGTTGTGTTGGAGCTGTCCATAACCCAGGAATGGAAGCAGTGTTTAAGGGTGTCATAATAAACCATTGGGGAGGTTTTTTGCTAGGCCTCTCATGTTATCTAGGTAGTTGCTTGGTTCTCCAAGCAGAGCTTTAGGCAATATTTTTTGGTCTTCAAATTATCAAAGACAGAGGCCTCTAAGAGAATATTATCATTGAATCAGATTCGGCTCTAACTATAAAATTCTCAATAGGGATTATTAGAGCACTCATAATTGTGCAACTCTAGTGAATTCAATAATAGAAGTGGCAGATTTGGAACAAGATCTAGAGAGCAATCACATTTTTAGAGAAATTAATGAAGTAGTTAATTATATGGTTAATCCTGATTTTGTTAGTGGGAAGAGTCAGCATGTTTTTATTACCCTCATCTAGGATTTCTTTTACTTTAGTTAGTGATGCTTCAACAATGCGTTTCTTTAGAGGTGTTTAATTTAGGCTATTAAGCCCCTTTCATTCAAAAAATAAAAAATAAATCTAAGGAAACAATGAAAATTCAAAAAAAGAGAGGTTTGTGAACTATGTTAAAAAGGGGTAGAAAATCAGACAAAATGCAAAACATAACCATATTACACAAATAAAAATAGAGGATGTTTAAATGTTATGATGATAAAAACGTCTTTGTGACTAGAATATTTATATATAAAGACAATTCTTTATTTTGATATACATAAAATTTTTGACAAATTTAAATTTTAGCATGAAAAATAAGAAATTACACAATAATAATTAATTAAAGATATAAATATTTTTAATCTTATAAAAATTGTTGCCAAACAATTATAACGACAAAAAAGTATTTTATTAACTTTTATATTCGAATAAAAGTAGAAATTATTTTGTTTCTATTGCTAATAACTTATTATAACTTTTAGTTATATATAATAAATATATAATTTTTTAAATAAAAATGGTATTTTATTTTTTACAATCACAAACTAGGTATTTATTATATATATATATATATATTTATTTATAATAGTTATCTTATCTATGATAGTTTATATATAAAAAACTATTATCTCACAACATATGTCTCCTACATATAATAGTGTGACAGAAATATATTAAAATTAGTTTAAAAATAAATATAAAACAGTAAATTATAAAAAGATAATGTATTAAGGAAAAAATCGTAAAAGAATATTTACTTGGCACGCTAATGCTTATGACTGGGAAAGTAACGGGCGGGAAAATTGGCACTACCTTAATTTAATTGAATTTGGTGGTTATAGTCTCGTATGATTTGAAATCCGAGTTTTTCAGAAGAAGATGGCGGCGTCGAATTACGAGTACCCGAGGCTCCGGCGGCCGGAAATAGTCTCAATCTTAGCGCAGTTCCAGATCGCCACCGTCACCGAGCAGGACCTCATCAACCCTAACCCTGACTTGATCTCCGAACTCTACACTCGCGTCCTCATTCACCTCGACTTTCTCCTCGAGTATCTCTCTCTTCTCTCCATTTATCTTCCTCTTCCGCGCATTTGTCGCTCACCTTCTTCATTCTCCGCAGGGAAGACAACGAGCAACTCGAGTTCGATGCCCTAGAGCAACTCGAGAACCCCGATTTCCACGTGGACTCCATTCGCGCCATCAAACTCTACAACAAGATCAAGGAGGTCCTCACCGCGCTCGAGTGTCCGCGGAAATTCACCTTCGCCGATCTCCTCGTGCCGGATCCTCAACGCACCGAGTTCTTCCTCGGTGCTCTCATCAATTTCTGCCTCGACAGGTAATAACTCATTTTCTTAAATTACAGCATTAAGAGAAAACCTAATTGTTCATTTTGGAAATCTCAGGGAGGCGAGGATGAACTCCGTGTCGGAGATTGTCGACGAAGTGAATGCTCTCGAGGAGCAGCGGACGGAATTGGAGGAGAATACGATATCGCAGGTTTGTCTTGGACCTCGATCTCGATTCTCTAACTCGTTTTGCGTTTGTTTAACTGTTTGGCTTTGGTTTAGTTGAGAGCAGAGATTTTGGAATGCAATGAGGCGAGGGAGAGGGAGATGCCTCTTGTTAAGGAGGTGGAGGCAAAGGTGAAAGAGCTGAGGCAAACGATTGGGGCGCTGAACAACAACCAGGTGGCGCTGAGGACTAAATTGAAGAAGTTGAAGGAGAAGAGTGTGGAAATGGATGAGAAAGTCAGTAATTGTCATTCATCTAATTCTAGTTGTTGAATCTTTTACCTTGATGTTGGTGGTTTTGGATGGTGTACGGTAGAGGAGAAAAAGAGTTTGTTAGCAATTTGCATAGCCTTACTGAGTTGAATCTTTTGGATAATGTAACTTGTATATTGTGAGCTGCAGTTTTTGCGAACTTGGTGTTCTTTTCTGCATGGCTTTGGTTTTAAGAAGTTGTAGCTGTAGGTCTTTACTCTTTGTGCATGTTACATTGTGGTTGATTGTTGTTAGCGGTGTTTTGAGTTTGCTGATTGAGTTTCCTTTTTTGGTCTGCTTACTTCAACCCTCCTCATCCTCCCTGAAAGTTTGACTACTTGGTGTGTAGATTATATTATTTCTTACTCATTCACCCTATTTTCCTTTTTGTGGCCCAGATTTCAAATGCTGAATTTACATTAGTACAAAATGTTCTAGAAAATGCAAATCTACGTTCAAAAATTGCTCAATCTCCTGATAAAGTACAGGTATTTGGTTCTCTCCAGTCATTAGAATTACTTGCAATTGAAATTCATTCATGTAATCATGTTGTTTATTTGCTATTATATTATGGGCATAATAAATGTTTTTGCTATTATATTATGTAATCATGGTTTTTGGCAACAAAAATGTGGCATACTTGGCATCTCTCCGACCAATCTGCTTGTGTGAAACTGTGAATATTTTATTGGTGATTACTGGACTACCTTGCTTTTGTGTTGGTTCTGCAGTATGATCTGATGCTAATTTTGGAAAACATTGGCACTTGACAGTTTTAAATTGTTGACCTTCCTGCAATTTGTATTGGATTTTTACTAATGTGAGTAAATATTATATTGTAATGCCAAAATATTGTTTTAGGCGCCTAATTAGTTGTTCTTCTCAAAAGTTTGAAACAAAAAACTTTGCCCAACTTTCCATCATTTAGGCATCTACATGGTCCAATTTAACTTCAAATATGAATTATGGTTTGTGATCTATCCCATGTAGTGATAGATTCAGACAAATTACACACTTTCCTGGAAATAAATATCTTATATAAGTTATATTGGGAATAAACTTCTAAAGAACAGTAATGATACATGGATATGTGGAAAAAAAATAAAATACAAGTATGGAAAAGTAAACAACTGAATGGTATAAATATAAGAAATCTTGCGACTTCCAGAACATAGAGCCCAAGCTATAGTGAGTCATAGTTTATTTCTTTCTGCTTTTTGTCTCCCCTGCCTCTCTATATGAATGGCTACCTTTTTTTTACAAATTTTTGTACTAACACTTGTCCCCTCTCCATTCTTCCTCCAACTATAAACTTGCCAAATTCTAGGCCTATTAACTTTTTACCAATTGACCCATATTCCTCTCACATGGTATTCTGTTATCTGCACAAGGCTACTAGTGCATACTTCCTTTAAAAGATCGAGTGTACTTGCATATTTCACACCCATAGCTTTCATCAATAAAAATATGTACCCTTTCCTTTTAGAAATAAGAATTGTGAAGTACTTTAGACAGTGATGTCGAAATGAGATTGGGGTATTAAATTATCAATAAAAGTCTACATTATCATCAGAAAGTAGATAAGTTGGGGCTGTGGTTCTGTCTATATTAAAAGTAACTTAACATATGGTTGAGATTAAAAAATAAAAAAATGAAATCAGTGTTATTTAACTTCAAAATTTGCTTTGATCGTAATTCTGTCCTTGAAGATTGTATTTAAAATTATAGCTTATTGTTTTTCCTGTTTTTCTAATCACAGCATGTGGAAAGGTTATCTTTTTTCTTCTAATTCAAAGATATTTTTGTTTTTAAATAAATGTTGTGGAGAGGAGAAAGGGAAAGGAAGGTTTATACTGAGAATATTCTTTACTTGTTGGCTCCAGGGGATTGCATAAAAGGCTAAACCAAGAATAAGCTTACATCAAATCTTTCAGATATCATGAACAACTTGCAGATGCTTAGCCCAGCTGTATGCATTAATCAAACTTAGTTAAAATAAAATTTTGGTCTTTGAAGTTTCCATTAAGTTTGATTCAAGTCCATAATTTTTTTAAAAAGTTTTTAACTCGGTGCAAACATTTTCAAATTAGTTCCGGCCATTATAACACTGTCAAGTGTCAATTAACTCAGGAAGTGTTTATTTATACAGTAGGTACCACATTTTGTGCTTCTTTTCTCAGTAAAATGTCCTGTAGTTGCTTCTATAAGTAGTCGATTCTTAGCTTGTGCTCTGCTGCTCTCTTATTAAGTAGGTGCTCATTTATATTCTCTCTCTCTCTCTCTCTCCCCTTAAAATGTTCAGTAAGGACTGAATTGATGGTGCAATAATGACAACCAGGGGCTATTTTGCATGTTTATAGATGTTTTTCACTTTTAGAGAGTTGTAGGAATTTTTCTCGGCCAGTACTTATGTAAATTTGCTCCCCTGATTTGCCATGAAGAGGGCTTTAGAGGAAAAGAAAATAGCTCGAGAGGAGGCAAGGAATGGTGAAAGATCAGCAATGCAGGCGTTTCATAACAAGAGTGCCCTTGTTGATGTTTTCTCCAAGGTATTTTGTCGCAAACTAGATCCTTTTTTTTTCTTCTTTTTTTTATCTCCCTTTCATATGCATTATAGGTCATGGTAAAGTAATTTTATATTATTAAACTTCTATGCAAACTTTCCATGAGTAGACTGTCTTATTGAAGTTTATTCCAAGTTATTTTTTTTCCAGACTAGATCTATTTTTAGCCTCCCTTAATCTGCATTTGACTATCATAATCATGAATCTTTCATCTTAAATTAATTAAGATTGACTTTAGGATGCAAGCGAAACAAATTTAAACTTTTTGAAGTCTCGGCCTATTCAGTAAGGGTGACAAATGGATGGATCAAATAATTTTTTAGGCCGATCATAATGGATCGGATAAAAATAATCCATTAATTCATTTAAAATTCATTAAAAAATCACATAAAAATCCAATTCATTTAAAGCAAAATATTCATCCAATCCATTCATTAACAATATTTTTTTATGGATGAATATCTCTATCCAATCCATCGATAAAAATAATGTTTTAAAAATTAAATCATTTTTAATTTTTGAAATATTTTATTTCTCTTTCATTTCTTTATAAGTCATTATATTCTTATATAGTCTTCTAAAATTCACAAAACATTTTTATTGAATGTCAAAATAGTCTTTTCCATTCTCAATCCAATAAATATCTCATATGTAATCTAATGAATTTTGAAAAAGTAGTGGATGCTTAAATGTATGTATTGGATCCGATCCATTTTTTTTTTTATCGTAATTGATGGGTTGAATGAATTTACTTGTGAATGTATCGGATGGATGGATAATGGATAAATGAATCCATTTATATTGTATTGAGTTGTATGGCACATGTATCAACTGAGTTATCAATTAAATGGTGTCACTGCTTAAACCTGATTGGGCTTATGCAAGATGAGTGCCTCTTGTATTGTGACTGGAAGATCAAAAGATGACTCAACATGTATTGTGACTGGAATTTTCTTTTCAATCTTCAATACAATGCTTAAATAATTTATGCACTGGTATTCTGGCCATTTACAATTCATTTCGAAAGGCAAACTACAACGTGAAAAGCTGTAACACTTGGATAAATTCATAATGTTTTGTTATTGTATGTAGATCACTTTATCCTTTATCTTTTATTTTTTTGGTTAGGTGTACAAGAAAATGTCAAAACACTACACGCTGATGCAGACTATACAAGAACAGGTATTAAAATACTCTGGTCAGTTGACTTCAGCTCTGACATTTATCACAATGATTGAAAATTTACTATAAATTCAGTAATTCACCCTGTATACTGGGGAGAGAAGCTTTTTCTTTTTTGTGTCGCTTATTTAAATGGAGCTTATAATTAGAGTGCTGTCTAGACTTAAGAGATATGAGATCTATTATACTTCTTCACGTTCCTTCAAATATTATTACCGTGCAAAATCTACTTTGATGTCAGTTGTGCCTTTTTTAGGTAAATTCTGCAAAATCTGTTGAAAAGGATCTTAAAGCATTGAAAGCAAAACTCAGTGATGAAAAAATATTGGAGAAGTCACTTGAGGCCAAATTGGTCGAAAGACAAAGTAAAGGTACGTTCTTGTTATCTTATGCAAGCAATGCCTTCATTTCTGGCTAGATGGTTTAACTGTTTAAGCACGAGTAATGATAATTTTTTACGAAACACATTCTGCAAAAGCTGATCACTAGTAACCTGGCATGATTTTTGTCCAATAATTTTGTTTTCCTCTTTTAAATGGCATTTGCTGGCTGAATAGCAGCACAACTGTACGTCACATTTTTTTGAATTATTTTGTCTAAAATTTTCTTGGTACATAAAACTGCTTTTTAAGCATGCACATTTTGGCTGTATTACCTTTTAACTTGTACCACTTGTTTTTCCTTCATCAGTTGAGCAGATGGAAGAATTGAGGAAGCAGTTGGAGAAAGAGTGCAATATTAGGTGCGAAGAAGCAACTAAGTACTTGAATAGTACACAATCAGAGGTGGAAACAAAGAGATGTGATATAGAAACAAGGAAGAGAAATGTCGCTGCTATGTTATCTGAGGTGTTATTTCTTAAATTTCATGATAAATCAATTAAATGTGATGAAAGAATAAATTGTTATTTCTTATCTGCAATTGACAGGTGGATGTTATAAATAGTAAAATTACATCAGTGAAAGAAACTGGAGCGGTACAAGTGGAACGGTTAGGTCGCAAATGTCATGAGTTAGTTGATGAGGTAAATGTCCGTTCTCCATATTATGTAGACCTGTGGGATCTACATTCTAATTGCCATGCTTGGCTTAAAAATCTTCCAATTACAACCATACTTTCTCCCTGAAAAAAAAAAATTTATAAAGTTTCTAAAGTTGGGATATGCGGTAACAACTTTCATGTGAATTCTACTTTTATTTTACTGTCTAATTTTTGTGAGAGACTCCTTTCTCTTTAGCACTGCCATGCTGATTGTAAAGTTTACTCAATAATTCGTGCTTTGCTTATTGTTATAGTGAATGAGAAATAATTGATTTATTGTGTGTGCATTCTCGCAGTTTCACAAGTATTCAAACTCGATTGTACGTGTGATTGAATCTGCGCCAGAGAGTTAAATTCATTAAAGGAAGTGGATTTGACATTTCAGATCTGGTATATTATGAACTACACTTGCTCTGCATAGTTCGAGTACATGTTAGCATACAAAATATGGAAGAATTTCTGCAATGGTTATGCCTTAGTCACATCACTATCTTGCTGCAGAATTGTATAGTGCCTAAACTGCCATCCTCGTGCTTCTTCTATTCTTAGTCCAATAGTTATGCGTGCCCTGTAATGGTTTGCTCTAGGTGATTATGCCTCTGGATGAATGAAAGTATGTTATTATGTATCATTCTATTTGGTTTTTATTACATTTTATTTTATTACGCTTGATTTTATTTAATTTAATATATTTTATTAATCATCAAATGTTCAAACATAGCTCTCTTTGCTTTGTTATATTTAATATAAAGTTAAGTGGGTTATTAGTTTAAATCATGATTTTTTTTTGTAAATAAACTAGTGTATTTTAGAAAATTAACGTGATTTTCTAAAACCGTTTTAGCTTCCGCTGGCTTTTGGAAATGAGATTAACTATTAAGGTACATGTTACAAGAAAAAATGTAGAAGCAACTCAAAATAGCTTTGCATTAAGTAGCTTCTCTACTGAACGTGAATCATCATAATCCCAAATTCGATTAAAATGCATAACAGAATTTCTTAAATTCTCAATTTAAAAATAAGGGTTCATATAAAATTGAGAAAAACAATTAACAAGGAAGACTGATAAACATTCACAATCATTTGCTCTAATATCATATATTCATTTGTTTATTTTATTTTTTTACATAAGTATTTTATAATAAAATAAGTTTTTTTCTTTTTTGTGTTTGTCTATTTTTTTAAATAAGTAAATTTTCCTTTTTTCTAAGAATAATTCTTACCTGCTTGTTAAAGAGTTATTTATTTATTTATTTCACTCGGATGCAATTCTTTATTTTTATGTTTAACTTATTGATAAAAAAAGAGTTATTTTTTTTAAAGTACTTGTTTAAAATATTTATTTTAAGTTTAAATCAACTGACTCAGTAATGATTCTTCCAAAATTTTCATTTTTTTTAAAAAAAAACTAACTTATTAGATAAAAATCTTAAGAATGTGTTTGGTATATGAAATCTATTTTTGTTATTAGGAATCATATTTTCTGATAATTATTTTTCTTAAGAATATGATAAATATATTTGATAGAATTAAAAATTCTTAGAAACAAGAGATATTTAATTATAGTTTTTTTTATCATCACGAAATATTCTTACCCGTGCTTCAATGAATTTTAATTTTTTTAGTGGGAATATGAATAAAAAAATAATTACCGAAAATGTATAGTCTGTTTAGCTTTATTTTTCATTTTTACCTTTTAATGTAATTATATATATATATATATTTAAAAAAATTTAGTATTCTAAAAAAATTATAAAAAAATATTTTATATTTTCTTTTGCTAATATTTTAAAAAAATTGCAAATAAGATTTTAGTTTCGAATTAAAATTATCATATTTCTAATATAAGAACTCCGTTTTTGCACTGTAATTCTTAGGAATAAAAAAAAAAAACCTGCTCTAAAACTTGAGAGAAACATCCATAATTATTGTTTACGAACGACTTCTTTGTTTTAACCCCAAACAGAGTAGTGCGCGCGCGTGTGCGAGAAAGAGAGACTCTATCGTGAATTCGAAATGACAACGGTGGCAGCAGCAATAGCACCTTGGTTGCACTTGCACCCTCGAAACCAAGCTGCATTAGCATCGCCTCTAAACGCTGCGTTTTGGTTCCACCAGAAGAAGCAGCAGAAGAAGAAGCCCATGTCGTGGTCAATTTCTGCTCACTCCTCACCTTTCGACCTCTCTCCTCCTCCTATCGACCACGATTTCCTCGTAATTTCCAACACTTTCTTAGTTTTCGCTTTTCACGTAACATTCCAAAAAAATACCCTCACGTTAGGGCTTTTTTTGGGCTCAATTTAGAAATCAAGAGGGAGCATTAGAAATTATATAAACGGTAAAATGTTTCAGAATAGAGGCCATCTTGCTATGGCGTTTTTAGAATCATCCGTTATCCGGGATTAATAACTTGTTTGTGGCAGTAGAGAACTTGATTTTACATTTTGGTTTAATTATCTTTTTGTTCTCGTAGTTTTATCAACTTTATTTTTTAGTACTTATAGTTAAAATTAAAAACATTTTATTTTAATCATTTATATATATCTGTCTTGTTGTCTTTTAGTGTCTGTCGTCTATTTATATATAAATTAAAAGGAAAAGTTTATGAGACTATAAAAAAAAGAAAAAATGATATGTATAGGAACTTAAATGATTTTTTTTTTTAAATTATAGGAAGTAAAAAGATAAAGTTTATGAAATTATAAGAACCAAAAGGTAATTAAACCATACATTTTTTTTAGAATAAAACAAATAATTTGCTTTTAAATGGTTCAAATACATTTTTGTTCCCATACACATTAGTCATCTTTATTTTGGTTTCTAGTTGAAAAAGGCTTTCAATTAATCTCTACATGTATAATAAATTTCAATGTTGTTCTTGCTGTTTGTTGCCGTTTTATACAGTGAGACTGGTATTCAGTTATATGAAGTATACATAGGGATCTAGTTGAAAATGAGTGTCAGAGCAAAATGATAGTGGGACTGATTCCTATATTTTTTATTTGGTTCTTGCGGTTCATTGTGTTATATTTTTTGATCAACATCATTGTGTTATATACTTATATACACCTCTGACAGACAATATCATATCAACAGTAGACAGTGATTACTAAATTTAAAGGATATGTGTAGGGATTGAATTGAAAGTTTATATCATATGAAAACCAAATTAAAAATGAGTGTTACATATAAGGACTAAAAATATATCCTTTTTTTTAAAATTTTTTTTTTGAAATACCCTTATGATATTGCTCGAGAGAAGAGAAATCAGGTGGCTCAGTGCGATTTTTTGATTGTCAAATTATTATCTTCACTCATTGCAGGATACTGTCAAAACTGCAGGCGCAGAGGTTTCTGGGGAAGGGATTGTTGAGACATTTCATAATGATGATGAAGCACTGGATGCCATAGACAATGGGGTTGTGGTATGTCACTATTTTATTTTTATGCCAGTAGCTTAATGTTCTTTTGCATTCTCTCCGCTTGAGCAACTTCATTTGGTAGAAACAATATAAAAGTATAAACAACAAGAAACAGTTCATTTTATAATTATTTACTTCTTTGAATTGATTAATTTATGGTTCTAGAGATGCTTAATGATATAGGCCAAAGAGCATATAGTAAATCTTCAATGCTCATTTTGTTGGCACATAATTCATTTTTAAATATCATGTGACAAATTGAAGAGTAAAAGATACATGTAGAGTATTATCTTTTTTTTGAAATTGAAGACTTTCTGTCATATGTTACAAGCTGAATGATGGATTTACTTGCAAATTATATCAGTTATAGATTGAGTAATAAAAGTTGCAAACTCATAAAGATTTACAGACTTCAATTTATCAATCTGTAACTTTAATTACTTACTCTGGAATATCTATTATTCAGTCTGTATATATTTTTTTTAAAAGTAATACAGCATACTCTTTTTTGGAGGGAGTACTGAAGACCCCTTTACACACTTACCGAATTTTGTTTCAACCTCTGACTTTGTATTTTCCAACTTTACAAAACTTGAACTAGTCTAAATGGCTTTTGTGGGCTTAGATTAGCTCAAGGCTGTAGATTATCAAATTGTAATTTTAGAGTTTATACAAAATATTATGTGATAGCTTGCTATCAAGTTTTTTGTAAAATCTAATACAAACTTGAAGTCTTACAGTTGCATGCTTACCAATTTATAAAGGTATATTAATATTTTATTAGATAATGTAGGATTTAGTTGTTTGCTTAATTTAACTATTTATGACATCTAATGGTATAGGTTGTGGATCTTTCACACTTTGGCCGGATAAGAGGTACTTGCTTTTCCTGTACCATTGTCTCTTCACACAAGAGCAATGCATTTTCACAGCCATTTTGGGATAATATAAAATAAAACTGCTGCAAACATGTATAAAGGAGCTACTAACAAAAAAAAAACTTTTCTTTTTATTTAAGTGAATCATTTGATGTTGTAAAATATCTTTAAGATAGAATAAATAGGTCAGCTACTGTTTCAGAGTAGAGAAGAGCCACACATGACCCATGTGTCAAGAGAGTGAGCCTTAAGGTTCTCCTAATTTGCAGCTAATCAATACCCAATATCTTATTGAGAACTGCTGTCCATATGAAATACTAAAGCTTGGAGGGAGCTTTGAATGTCTATATACTATAGGGGCTTTAGATGGTTAAATTCCAATACTTGTTCAGCATTTCATATATGTTGTCTACTTTATGGGTTACAAAAGCTGATTCTTATTTTGCCACATTTTTATCATTTGCTTTCAATTAGCAGTGACTGGAGTTTTGATCTTTCAATTTTGCCTTTGATCATTGGTATGGTGATTTTTTAGTTAGCTACTAATAAAGTGAGATATAAAATCAACCATGAGCCTTAGCCTTATATCTTCAGCTATTGGGAGTGTTAGTTCTGATCATAGTATCAAGCCTCCATGAGATATTGGATTTTAGCCCAGGATAGGGTGGGTTTGTGCAACGGTTTTAATTAACATGCTATAGTGGTGTAGCAGTGTGGAGCCCCCTTCCTGATACAGGACTTGCGGTAGCGGAGCAGTTTAGTGTAACAACCGTTGCAGACAAACAGCTGGTGCTATATTAAAAAAAAAAAAAAGCCCCTTTGAACATGGACATTCGGGCTTTCTTTGGGATTTTAATTTCCAAACATGAACTCTATAGATGTAATAAACAAATTTCAGTGAAAATGATAGAGAAGTCTTGGATTTAGAAGATGATAATGATTGACTATTTCTATCTTGGAAACTTCTATTTGACTTTTGTTGGCATTTAGGTATATGTTTGGTTTAAGACACCTATGACATTATAGTTAATTATGAATTTCATTAATTTGGAGTAATTTTTTTTTTATCATTTTAAAGAATTTATGTGTGTAGTATACATTATACAAAAAAATTTAAAATAGTGGCTATCTCACTATATGCTATCTCATATAGTGCTTTTGGGGCCGGCTGCTTTGTGCCACTATCCTGGATTTAAAACATTTGTTTGTGTACTGTCCATATTCAAGGGGTGTGTTAGAGATATGAGACCATTTATAACCCTTCACTTATCTCTTAGGCCATTGAGAGTTGGTCCTTGACATACTTTCATGTTTTCTTAATATTTCATGCAAATATTTTGGCTCATATGAAACAAAGTAAGTGGAGAAGATCGCATTCAGTTCCTTCACAACCAAAGTACTGCAAACTTTGAATGTCTACATGAAGGACAAGTACGTATTGGGAAAAAAAAGTGCATTGTTTCTACGTTTATGTGTTCTTTGCAAGTTCTGTCAATTTATTTTTATATTTCATATTATAATACAGGATTTAGTAATTGGATCTCTTAACTGAAATCCCTAGGGATGTGACACGGTTTTTGTAACACCAACAGCTCGTACAATAGATATTGCACATGCATGGCTCATGGTAATTTTGTTTTTTCCATTCTTATAACAAAATTCATTTGTGGTTGTCTTTTCAACAGTTGTCTTAATTTTCATATAGCTGACTTTCTCTTGTTGCTTTTTGGTAGAAAAATGCGATATCATTAGTGGTTTCACCAGAGACCTGTAGGACCATTACTGAAATGCTGAACAAGTAGGTAGTTTCTTGTTAGTTGTAATGTAAGGATTTACCAACAGAAGTAAAACTAAAATTATGAAGAGAGCAAACAAATAGTTGTCTTTCCTGATGAAAGTTATTAAATATTCAAATACATTAACTAAATCTTTTACCTGTAATGATTTTTAGGTACATATTTTTTGCTGATAAGGTAGAGATTCAGGACATAACTAAGCAAACCAGCTTTTTTGTTTTGGTGGGACCCAAAAGTGGCCAAGTAAGATACATTATTATGCCTATTTAGTGTCAAGAATGACAGAGTTGGTAATTTTAATACAATGAAATGAGCAGGTGATGGAGAACTTGAACATTGGTGATCTCGTTGGAAAACCATATGGCACACATCAACATTTTAATGTAAGCTTGATTAAACTGGTTATTTTTGGGATGGGTGCTAATTACTTGTTGTCTTTCTCATCACCAGTTTCTCTATACTAGATGCAACTGGTCATGTATGTTTGATGATGACTGCGTAGTTTTATGTCTGCATTTATTTTTCTTATTTTTGTTCAAAAACAACTTACATGATCAATCATGTCTTATTTGCTGGTTTTTAGCTTCATGTATGTGTTTCTCACTAATAACTTTATTACTGTAAAAAATGCATATCTTGGTTGTTTACATTGCCAATGAGTTATAATAACTTCTCTAATAACAATTTTTGCTTTTGGCAACAAGTTCCCATGGTTCATGGTTGCATCTTCTACATAACCAAAATTTAGAATGTTTTAAAGAGGAGTGCTTAAAGGACGCTCCCTTATTGATTAAAATTTATGGAAAACTAGAAAATCATGAGGTTCATTAAATAAGGAGTGGACCTACACAATTTTGCAATTTTCAATAAATTTAAGCATATAGTGGGTATATAGTTTGAAAGAGATTATGTTGCTATCATTTCTTATGTGTTAAATTTATGTTACTTCCAAAGTAGTAAACTTTCAATGGCAATACCAAAACTAGTAATTACTTTTTTTTTTCCAATTGTTTTTCCCTTTTATTGGAAAGCTTAAGGACCTACATAGTCTTGTATTATTCTTGTGAACAAATTTTATCAAATATATTTGTAATTTGTAGGTTGATAGGCAGCCTGTAACTATAGGGGTTGGAAACATCATTTCTGAAGGTGGTTTTTCATTACTGATGTCTCCAGCGGCTGCTCCATCTATTTGGAAAGCTATTCTTACTCAAGGGGCTATCCCAATGGGTTCTAATGCATGGAATAAATTGCGGATTATTCGAGGTACTGAATTGTTTAGATTATGTGCATATTTCTATGTCTATATCTCGAGGTTATTTTGTTTTATTTTCTTAAGGATACGTAGTTATGTGCTGCTTTTGTGTAACAATCTATTTGTGTTGTTATGATAGAAACTGTATCAGTCTAGGAGAAAATAAGTTGGTATGCCGTATTATTCAACTGTGGAAACCAATGGCAGTGTGATATTAGTAACTGTAAGATGGATTTAAAATGGAAAATACAGAGATGACTTATGAACAATATACCTAGGATAGTGCTTTTTCAACTCTCTCAAAATGGAATCTATTCCAAAAATATATACCATGGTTCCTTACCTCAACAGGGTACAAATATCTAAATTTCATATTTTTAAATACTTTTTCAGACCTATTGCCGATACTAAGTAGTAGCCAAAAATTTGTATCCATTTTTCATGATATTATGCATGGGTCAGATATATTATGGCGAATTCGTCAGATTCCATTGTGGAAGACACAATGGAATCTGATAAGTGAGATATGGAATCTGATAAGGACATTCAAGAGGCTCTGTTTTCTCCCACTGACCTTTTTATTCACTCATTTACTGCCCTGTCTCTCTTTCCC